CGCAGCCGCCAAGCCCCGCGGCCGCCACAACCACGCCGGGGGCCCTGAGGGGCGCCGCAAGGGCCGCTCCCCCTCACCCGGCAGGAAGGAGCGGGAGGCCAAGGCACACCGCAGCCGGCGCAAAGCCGCCAAGGAGCCACCGTCGGCCTACCGGGACCCGCCTAAGGCTTACCGGGACGACAAGGCTGAGCCCAAGGCCTACCGGCGCCAGCGCTCCTCACCCAGCCCTGGCCGTGACGACAGCCCCCCACACCGCACCTCGCTGGGCCCACGCGGCCGCAAGTCGCTCAGCCCCCTGGGCGGCCGCTCGCCCCTCAGCCCCTACAGCCGCCGCCGCTCACCTAGCTACAGCCGCCACAGCTCCTATGAGCGTGGGGATGTGTCACCCAGCCCCTACAGCAGCTGGCGTCGCTCCCGCAGCCCCTACAGCCCTGCCATCAGGTGAGTCTGGGCCTGCCTGGGGGCTGGGGTTGCTCTTGTGGTCCTGGGAGCTGAGGGAAGGCCCCAGCGCTCCCAGCAAAATGGGCACTGCTGCCTTAAGAGCGGGTGAGAGGGGGAGAGGGCTGCGGTTCCCTGCATGTGAGGGCAGACCCCTGAGCTGTGAGGGGGCTTCCAGGTGTCTAGAGTGTTTGCAGAGGTGGGGACCCTCTTGTGAAGTCTGGTGGATAAGGGCCCAGGACAGGTGCTTGGAGGTGAGAGGGGTTAGAAACTTGAGTTTTCTCCAGCATCGAGAACCGCAGCTCTGGGGACAGTCCTTTTTTTCTTGTGGAAAAGGGTCTCTTAAATACCCTGCACTGCATCTTTCGCGAGATCACTTGAAAATGTGGCCTTTACCCAGCATGCTTTTTTGCCCAGGTACGCTTTGCTTTGCACCCTGTGAGTAGTCCCGCTGCCATTTGCAAGGGAGGCCTCTCAGTGTATTAAACTCTGCACTCTAGTAGAAGCTTGAAGTGGTGGGGTCTTCTTCCCATGCACATGTTCGGTTTGTCTGCTAGCTCAGTTTTGTGTGCTTTTTTTTACAGAGATCACAAGTGGCCTGAATTCAGTTAGTTTGAGTAGTGACAGGTCATCTACTTTTCAAGTTGCTGAGTTAATGCCCTTAAAACATGCTTCAAAGTTAATGAGACTTCTGGCGCTGTAAAATTGACACTTGTGTGCCTCTAAATGAAGATTGGTTCTTCTAGTAAAAAGTCTTGTGGCAGGCTGTAGAAGCATTGATTTCAAAGTTGTTGAATTTAATATCTAAAATTATTGCTTATGGTTTGCTTTTTGTTAAATTTGTTTCTTTGGCAAGATTTTTTTTTTCAAAGCCTTGTGATCTTTATGAAAAAGACTACCTTTTGAACCTGTTGGCTCTGTATCAGTTAGTGCTAGAAGCCTTGCACCCGGTGCTAACTGAGAATCTTACATGTTTTATTGACTGTTCTCATGTTTGACTGAGTCTTTTCACCAAGGTCTGTCTTTCAAGGTAAACATTGTTGAAAGGGTTAAGTAAGGAACCTTTGTCTGTCTTTGGGTAGGAGGTGTAAAACAAAGATGGCTTCAAAAATAAAGAGTGGCATAACAGAGTATAGAAGTAGTGTGTTGGAGGATAAGACTTTTGTGAAATATCTTTGCAGATTGGAAGACATTTTCAAGGTGAGAAACTACTAGGCAGCTGATTTTTATTTGTGTTTTGAGTGCTTTGTAAGTGGCTAAAATAGTTTTACAAGTATTTTGGTGTGAGTTGTGAGAACGGACTGAAGAAATATTCTGAGTAATGAATTCAAAATGTAATTTTCCTTTGTACACAATTAGTCAAAGTGCAATAATATGCTTTGGGGTTTGCATTTAAGAGTTGCTATACTTAATCAGACTACTAGGCCATCCATTCTAGTATTTGTTGTATGCACTGGCCATTAAGAGATGCTTTAGAGGACAGTTCAACTTCTTAGTGGATAGTGAGGGGGACAAACTGTGATAGGAAAAGTTTCTTTAAACCCTTGTCAGTTAGTAAATTTGCTTATGACTTGATGTCTTGTTTTCTTATTTAATTTGCCTCAAACTGATGCAAACCCTTCTTGGATTGTAAATCCGACAGCCGTGAACAGAAATGTAGATCTTCCTTAACTTTTGTGATTTTTTTAATCCTTCCTTTCTTCAGCTGTAATTTGTGTTCAGTATTTTACTGGTGCAGACTTCCTGGTATTAACTAGCATTCCAAGCAGGTGCGTTTCTTGCTTGGGACAGCCACATCTATCAGGGACAGAAGAGAGATGATAACATTTAGAGAGACTTCAAGGGATGATGGTCCCTGCTCCAGGCCTTGGATGAAGGAGAACTGGGTTAAATTCCTTCCTATTTCTGCTACTGACTTTGGCTGGGTCATAGTTCTTCATTTAGTTTACTGTATCTAAAATGTGTTAGTATCTTTAAGGAAGGTGAATGTGAAGATATGTTAACTAATATTTGTTTGGGATTCAGGGACTAATGTCATAGAAGCCATAGATAAAATTTAGTACATGCCTGGTGTCCTGTCAGCTTCTGGTTTAAAAAATGACCCCCTCTTCCCACCCCCCACCCAAACAAACAAACAAACCACCCTTCCTTAAATGATTAATTTTCTGTGATGGGCCTTGCCACATGATAGTCTTCACTTGATCCTCTTTAGACAGTCATCCAGAGTATGTCTGAGTTTTCCAGTATATTCCTGCACAGCATTTCTAAAATCTAGCATTTCTTTTCAGTTGCATAACTAAAACTATTGTCCAAGTCCTCGTTATTTCATGTCATATCTATTTTAGATTTTTTCTTTTGGCCTTGACAAATCTTATTTTTGCCCTGCTTATATTTGTTCAGAATCATTTCTTTAGTCTGTTGCTGGAAAACTGTAGTGGATGTTCTGTGTCTGTTCTCAAAGATGTTTTTCAGATTGAGAGCAGCAGATAAAGTGATGGGCTCCTCTTGGGTGAGGAGGAGTTTCAGATTTGGCCTTATCTGAACAAGAAAGTTGGCCAGTTTAATTTTAGGGTTGTTTTTTTTTAAATCTTTTTTGTAGATTCCCTTATTTCAGTTTAGCTTACACTGAGATGGGCCTTGTTTAAACTAAAATAAATTCTTATGGTAACTTTCTGTACCAGGTATAACTGAAGTGGCTTACAATAAGCTATTAACTGGTATGGCTTTTAATGTAGATAAACTCTTAGTTTTATTGTCTTAGACAGGTGTATAGGAAGCTTCTTAAGTGGTTTTCAGGAGTAGGTGAGCCATCCAGTGGCAGAACAGCCACTGGATTAGTAAGAAAAATATCTTGAGAGCACTTGAATGTAGGTGTTTCTAAAGCACCTAGAGCTGGAATTTCCAAGGTGGCCTAGGCACACAGGTCTCAGTGAAAGATAGAAATTAAAGATCAGTGTACCCACTTGAGTTAGCTGAAGTATCCAAGATTTGTTTTCAAAATTATAATTCCAAACATCAGAATCTGTTCAGTCCCAAATCTTCTTTTACTTGGAAGAGAGTGAAGAACAGCTTCACTGTTGTGCAAAAAAATGGACAACTTTCCTCTGATTCAGTATACTTGTTTACGTGCAGCTTATATATTGTTGCTGCATATTTTTTCAGCCATTAGAAATAAAACATGGAAGGTCATGATGCGATTTTTTGAGTCAGTTAGCATAGTTGTATAATACTCATGTCACATGGTTGAGTTATGCCCCACCACATGAATTAAGAAGGTTTTGCTGCGTAGCTTAGGTCATAGTGCAAGGGTCCTTTGCTTTGGAACTGACAAGTGGAATGGTTTCACAAAGGCAGCAGCTTCTTAAGACACCTGCCTTTTTTGTCCTGGATGATTTAAGGGTTTAATTTCTGTCTAGACAGTAAGTGGCTCTGTGTGGTAACTCACCTTTCACTGTTCTTTTAATGTTTTTCTTCTCTTCCCTAATAATAAATACCCTGTGTAAGGTAAGATGCACCTTTAGTAGTGCTGTGTTGCCTTGCCTGGTGTTATTGGACTAGCCATTTTGACATCTGTGGAGGTTGAAAATGAGGGTAAGATTAGTTAGTCTAGGTACTTACTGTGATGCAGGTACATTGGTCTTCAAGGCTGGGTACTTTTGACCTTTTTAGATCGTGGTACTTCTCCACCAGAAGCTTATATAAAATATTAGAGGAACCTATGGCAAGGCTGAGGAATCCAACAGCTTCAGGGAATTGATTTTTGGCTTGTGACATTCCTAAACAGAAGCAGAGTAAAACTTATACAAAACTTGTCTGCTTAGAATTCTGAATTGCAGCACTGATTCTGACTAGTTTTCAGTTTTACCTAGGGATTGCTTTGCAGGTAGGCTCTGAGTAGCAGCAAACCAATTCGGGTTGCCTCTACATGTGATTCAAACTTGGAAGTTTCTTAGTCACTATAAAGGTTAGAAACTTAGGTGGGGTTTTTTTTTTTGTAATTCTGCAGAAAGCAGTTATTCAGGTTGCTTCATTTGCTAGGGAGGGCTTTCTTCCTCATGTCTAGTGATTGGTTGGCTAGTGTTTAAATATTTCTTGGCTCTAGCAGGCAAGACAATGAGAATTAGTTGTTAGGATGCTACCCTGAATAATTGGTGTTACTTCTGTAAGTAGTAATTCCATTGTGCTATGGGGATGGGCATTTTCAGAATAGAGAAGTGAGGGTTTGAAGTTTTTCCTATAGCAACAAGGTGATTTGAATTTTGTGAATGCTCTAGCTCTGAAAAATACCATTTCACTTAACAAAACTATGATAAATTCAACTGTGAATAGAGCCTCTATATAGAGCCTGTGATAGAGCATCTATACTTTTTGTTTGGTAACTAGTCCAGATGTACTTAACAAAGTATGGAATTGTGACAGAAAATACGGTTTCCCCTGGATTCACTCAGTTGTCTATGTGATCACACATTCAGTTCAGGTAATCAAACATATAATAAATGCTTGAATTCTTGAATATCACAATATGAATACTGATGTGTTGGACTAGAATATTTCATATGGTTAGGGTAGATATATGCTCATACCCAGTAATATTTCAAACTTGATTGCACCAAACTTTTGTCTCATTGCTTGGTACTGTGGACTTTCCTAAAAGGGGTAATTGCCTCTGTGGCAAACCCAGTGCTTGTCCAGCTGAACAAGTGTAAATCAAGGCTGTGTCTGTCACTATGATAAGAAAACACTTGTTCCCACTGATTGGTACATCATCCTTTTACACCTGTTGTGCTTTCTTTCCAAGGCACTTTCTCATGTACTTTCAAGCTGGCAAAGATAACCATCTATAAGGCCTGTAACCTTGCTTGATTTTGTACTGGTACTATTTCTGATCATGGGGCTGGAAGAATACACTTCTGAGCTGCCTCAGGCTTTGCCTTGGAGTGGAGTGAACTTTTAGGTATATTTGAGCCACAGTGTAGGGCGGGGGGGTGGTATGAACCCACACC